CTTTTTGGGTCACCCTGCCTCAGTGGGAGACAGCTGACTTAAAAAAAAAGACACTACAAATAGAAAATTCATTCAGCTCTGATGAAGTTCCCAGACAATATGCAGACAGTTATAACACATGGCCTCACATACCCTGGGTGGGGCTCTGATGCTCTGTTGGCACCATTTTGTTTTCAACAGTCATCACTGTCAGACCCACATCCCTTGCTCATTGTGATTACCATGTGCTTTGTGCTTATTCTCTGTTCTGTGGTGTGAAGTTATTGTTGAAAAATGTCTAAAAGGCCTGCAGATACCCTTATGCATAACACTGATAAGAAAAAAACACATTGTATAGTAGCCTTATAATCAAAACATATCATAGGTGGAGACTGAAAGTCTGTCATTTTTTTTTTCAACTGATGCAGGTGTTCTGCCAATGCTGCTGTGTCACTTATTAAAAATATTGGTTTTTGTTTTTAAAAAATATTGTATAAAACTACCTTCAGGCTATGTATATACTGTATATAAAATAAAAGTGCATTTCATGCTCAGACTTGGAATTCCATCCCCAAGCTATCTCATTATATTCCAAAATTCAAAAAATTCAGAAATCCAAGACACTTTTGGCCCCAAGTATTTCAGATAAAAGGCACAGTTGAACCCCGTAATTCATATTCTTCATATTCACTATTTACTGTAAACTGTACTGTACAATACTTTGCACTGGTGAGCTGTACTTCTCACATCGAAACATATATACAGTGGAACCTGGACTTACGAGTGTCTCAACGTGTGAATTTTTTGAGATATGAGCCATCCCTGGGTCGATTTTTTGCTCTGAGTTACGAGCCAACATTTGAGTTAAGAGCCAGCTCCCCCCGCTTCCCTCTCAACTCAAAACCTGGACACCTCACTTGTTTATCCATGATTTCATGCTTTAATTCCATGGAAATCATTCTCTTTTTCTTCTCAGCACTGTCCTTTACATTTACTTTCTTAGGACCCATGCTTAGAAAAACAAAATTTGGCCAAATGACTGTCAAAAATGTAAGCAAAGCATGAGAGAACTGCTCCCACAGCAAAGTAAACAGTGCACTGAGTTGGCAGTATTATATTATAATAATAATAATAATAATAATAATAATAATAATAATAATAATAATAATAATAATGATAATAATAATAGTAATAATAATAATAATATTATTATTATTATTATTATTATTATTATTATTATTAATTTAGGTAACTAGAGCAGAGATCCAATTCCCTAGATGAAGATCCCCTCACCAGTGTCAAGGTTCCTCGACAAAGGCGAGAGGCTCTTGATCTAGGGAATTGGATCTGTGCTCCAGTTCTCTAAATTAATAATAATAATAATAATAATAATACATAATACGTACGTAATAATAATTCAGAATGCTGCCGCTAGTTGGCACAGCTGATGCCAAAACATCAGGTAAGCAGTACACATGTTTACATCACTGTGGGAGCAGTTCTCTTGTGCTTGCTTGCAGTTTTTACAGTCATTTGGCCTAATTTCTTTTTTCTAATCATGGGTCCTAAGAAAACAAGTGCAAAGGACAGTGCTGAGAAGAAAAAGACGATGATTTCCATGGACTTAGCCAGGCAATACCAGCTTAGTACATCTACGCTATGTAGATACTAAAGCTGTATCAGTTATGTTCAGTGATTAAACAAAACAATGTTGTTGTTGGAGGTTTACAGGGCCACTGACATCATACGCCGCACCCTCAACATCCCTCACCCTCAACATCCCCCACCCTCAACCTCCCCCACCATTTCTGTTCCAAGTAAGTACATATTGTATACACTTTATATAAACAGTTTAATATTTCTTCACATTCTGTAGTGTGTATTGATTTATTATGTTTTTATATATGATATTCATTATTTATAAATACGTACATTGTTTCAGTGTTTTCTTTATTAAACTAGTGATCTACTGCAGTCAGCCTCAAAAATACTCCATTTTCTCTTACAATAAGAGCATGGGAAGATATTATAGTCAAAGTACGACAGGAAATGGCGAACACTTCCACCGCTGCCTCTGCCACCATATTATGGCCTATTTTATTCATTCTGGAGTATATATCATGTTTGTGTTAACTAAATTGTCTAGTATGTATGTCTTATTAGATGAATTGTGATAGCTAAATAAGCCGTACAGTTGATAATAGCGTCATATTCAAGTATTTTTTGTCTCCAGAGTGCAGGAACGGATTAATGGCTAATCAATTAATTTAACCCTTTGACTGTCACAAGCCCCTTTCTGAAACTGTCATTCTATGTCACAAAATTTTTGGGAAAAAACAAAATTAGTTTTTCTTATGAAATTATAGAGAATCTTTTCCCGATGGTAATGACACCAAAAGTATGAAATTTGGTCGAAAACTCACAGAATTACACTCCCGTGAAGTTAGCAGTCTCAGCGATATACTCATCGGCAATTTTGCCAGCTTTGAGCCCTGTTTTTGGCCAATTCCATTGTTCCAGTTGACCAAACTCATAGCTATTTCCTTAGAACTCCATTTTTCTATCAACTGAGTACAAGAAGCCACCCATTTACCGATTTGAACTACCCAATAACGTGGTCAGAAATTGGCAATTTGGCAAATTAAAAAAGATGCCAATTTCAAAATAGGGTCCAGAATAAACAATGTAGGCATTCTTGGCACTAAAATAACATATCCTCTGTTCATTTGTCATGTCTCTAGGCCCCTCTTATATTATTATTGCTTTCTATTTTTATTTTTTATTCATACAAAAAATACAAAATTTACTATTATGCAGACTACTGCATTATTGTAAAAATCGTATAAATAATATCAGTGCACTAGTGAAAGAATATCAGACTCCCCAGGTGAAGTGTATTGGATGTGTGGTGTGATTTGCTTACTCCTGAACATTGGTAAAAATTGAACATTTCCGCTATTGGAGCTCAATTTCAAGGTCGTTTTCATCGTGAAACTAATCAAAATCATCTCTATTTCTGCAATATGTTTCCCATTTTATCACATGATACCATGAAAACGAGAATACAATGATAAATACTACATGAAAATACACCTCAAAGTCGGCATTTTATTCCAAAAAAAAAAAAAAAAAAGGTCAGTTTTTTTCTCGTTATGGGCTGCGTGCTGCAGGATTTTTTTATGTGGTGCACACTGACCACACAGAACCATTCTCTCACATGTGGGCCTACCAGCTTTCTCCTGCTTGATTTGAAGCCGCTAGAATTACTGAGTATATATACGTCCGAAACACTGGCTCATAAGACGTATATATTTTTTTTTTTTTTCAACAAGTCGGCCGTCTCCCACCGAGGCAGGATGACCCAAAAAAGAAAGAAAATCCCCAAAAAGAAAATACTTTCATCATCATTCAACACTTTCACCACACTCACACATTATCACTGTTTTTGCAGAGGTGCTCAGAATACAACAGTCTAGAAGCATACACATATAAAGATACACAACATATCCCTCCAAACTGCCAATATCCCAAACCCCTCCTTTAACCCTTTGAGGGTCGACAGGCCCTCTCCGAAACTCGTTCCCCAGGGTCGGCCAAATTTAAAAAAAAAAAAAATTATTTTCTCTTATGAAAAGATAGAGAAATCATTTCCCGATCATAAAGACACCAAAAGTTTGAAATTTATAGAAAACTTACGGAATTATGCTCTCGCAAAGTTAGCGGTCTCGGCAATGTTTACGCATCGGCGATTTTGCCCACTTTGAGCCCCATTTTCAGCCAATTTCACTGTACTAGTCGACAAAAAACATGAATATTTCGCTAGAACTCCATTTTTCTATCGAATGGGTGCAAGAAACCACTCATTTATGAAATTCAACTATCCAGTACAGTGGTCAGAATTTAGCAATTTTGCCAATTTCACACAAATTTCAAAAGATGCCAATTTCCGAATAGGGTCCAGAAAAAAACAAGAAAGACATTCCTGGCACTAAAAATGACATTTCCTCTAGTCATTAGTAACGTCTCAAGGCCCCTCTTATATTCTTTTGTTTTCCCACTTTGAATTTTTATTCTCACAAAAAATATTAAGATTTACTGTTATGCAGACTACTGCATTAGTGTAAAAAATGGTATAAATATTATTGGTGCACTTGTGAAAGAATATTAGACTCACCAGTTGACGTGTATTGCACGCTTGGCACGATTTGTTTACTTTTGAAGTTTGGTAAAAATCGAACATTTCTGCTACTTTGAGCTCAATTTCAAGGCACTTTTCTTTGTAAAACCAGCCAAAATCATCTCAATTTCTGTAATATGTCTTCCATTCTATAAAATGAGACCAAGAAAACTAGAATACAACAATAAATACCATACGAAAATACACTGCAAAGTCGCTGATTTATTAAAAAAAAATGGTCAAAGTTTTTTTTTTCTCATTATGCACTGTGTGCTGCAGGATTTTTTCTATACCGTGCACACTGACCACATAGACCCATTCTTTCATATGAAGGCCTACCAGCTTTCTCCCACTAGATTTGAGGCCGCTAGAATTTATGAGTACTAGTACGTCAAAAACCCCTACGCGTAAGACGTACTAGTATGACAAAAACCCTCAAAGGGTTAAAGTGCAGGCATTGTACGACCAAAACAGTCAAAGGGTTAAATGAGGAAAACTGATTTGATATATGAACAAACTTGAGTTATGAGCTAGGCCACGGAACAGATTAAACTCGTATGTCAAGGTTCCACTGTACATATACATGTATATATAAAATAAATCCATGCATATAAGAAACTGGAATATGTATGTATTCATCAAATAATTTATATACATGTACATGTTTTCAACATTCTTATAAATAATAATGAAGTCATATAGACCTGCCACTCTTGCTTCACAGCATAATCATCTTGCCACTCTTGCTTCACAGCATAATCATCTTGCCACTCTCACTTCACTTGACAAAGATCCTGTCACTTTCACTTCAATGCAAAATCAAAATAGCAACAAGTTTACTCACTGTCAAACCTCTGAGAGGCTGTGGCATCACTGATTGTTGGTTTGCCCTGAGACTTCTCCATGCTGTGGTAAGCATTCTTATTGGCTGCTTCCCGCATGTACTGGTCCGAGTGTTGAAGCTCTTTGGCTTTGCTAAGAACTTCTTTAGCATGTCTTACTATGCCAGTGGTAGGAGTGTGTTGATTGATGTACTCAGCGACTACATCCCACCTGAGAAGTGAAGCACATTTACTAAAAAGCAACTCCTATGGTATGCATTTCAAGAATCATTAATAAATAAAAAAATCAATTTAACAGACAGTGACTCAAATTTCTTGGTAGAAAACATCCAGAAACCATAGACAAAGCATTTTAAAAACCTAAACTGCCCATTATTAACTCTTTCAGGGTTGGTGCCGCACTAGTACGCATAAATTATAGCGCCTTCAAATCTAGCGAGAAAAAGCTGGTAGGCCAACATATGAAAGAATGGGTCTATATGGTCAGTGTGCACAGTATAAAAAAATCCTGCAGCCCACAGTGCATAATGAGAAAAAAAAAAAACTTTGACCGTGTTTTTGGTTTAAAACAGCGACTTTGCAGTGTATTTTCGTATGCTATTTATGGTTGTATTCTAGTTTTTCTGGTCTCCTTTTATAGAATGGAAGACATATTATGGAAATTGAGATGATTTTGATTGGTTTCACAATGAAAAGTACTTTGAAATTGAGCTCAAAGTAGCAGAAATGCTCGATTTTTGCAAAAGTTCAAAGGTAAACAAATCATGCCACGCGTCCAATACACGTCAACTGGCGAGTCTAATTTTCTTTCACAAGTGCGCTGATATTATTTATACCATTTCTACACCATTTCTACATGAATGCACTAGTCTGCATAACATAAATCTTTTCATTTTTTGTGAGAATAAAAATTCAAAGTGGAAAGCAAAAGAAATGTAACAGAGGCCTAGGGATGTGAGTAATGAACAGAGGAAATGTTATTTTAGTGCCAGGAATGTCTGTCTTGTTTATTCTGGACCCTATTTGGAAATTGGCATCTTTTGAAATTTGTGTGAAATTGGCAAAATTGCCAATTTGTACCACATTATTGGTTAGTTGAAATTGGTAAATGGGTGTTTTCTTGTACTCTTTCGATAGACAAAATGGAGTTCTAGCAAAATAAGTATGATTTCTGTTGACTGGTACATTGGAATTAGCCGATAACAGGGCTCAAAGTGGGCGAAATCGCCAATGTGTAAACATCATCGAGACTGCTAACTTCGTGAGAGCATAATTCCGTAAGTTTTCCATCAAATTTCATACTTTTGGTTTCATTATGATCGGGAAAAGAATCTCTTTTTTTCATATGAAAAAAAAAAATTCGAAAAATTTCCGACCCAGAGAATAAGTTTAGGAGAGGGCCTGCCGACCCTAAAAGGGTTAATATCGTGGAAACACACTCATCATTCAGATTTAATAGGCTTTAATGGACACCCCTTCTCCCCTAATAATCCATTAACCCTTTGACTGTCGCGGTCGTATATGTACGTCACAGGAGATACAGTGTTTGACGTATCTATACGCATAAATTCTAGCGGCTTCAAATCAAGCAGGAGAAAGCTGGTAGGCCCACATGTGAGAGAATGGGTCTCCATGGTCAGTGTGCACCATATAAAAAAAATCGGGGAGCCAGTGGTGCATTGTGGGAATACCATTTCAGTCGTCCTTTTTCAGCATGTCTAGCGGTAAGAAATATGTGACTTCCCTTCAAATCTGGGACTCTTCTCTTCCCAAGTGATGCTCTAACACAATGGAAGTGTCAATGAAGATCAATTTCATGATTTCGAGGAGTTTGAGACCAAAAGCAATGGAGGAGGAGGAGGAGGAGGAAGAGGAGGAGGAGGAAGAGGAGGAAGAGGGGAGGAAGAAGAGGAGGAGGAAGAAGAGGAGGAGGAAGAAGAGGAGGAGGAAGGAAGGAGGAAGAGGAAGGAAGGAGGAAGAGGAAGGAAGGAGGAAGAGGAAGGAAGGAGGGAGGAAGGAGGGAGGAGAGGAGGAAGGAGGGAGGAGGAAGAAGGAGGGAGGAGGAAGAAGGAGGGAGGAGGTGGGAGGAGGAGGAGGAAGGAGGGAGGGAGGAAGAAGGAGGGAGGAGAGGAAGGAGGGAGGGAGGAGGAAGAGAGGGGGGAGGAGGAGGGAGGGAGGAGGAAGGTGGAAGGTGGAAGGAGGAGGAAGAAGAAGAAGAAGAAGAAGAAGAAGAAGAAGAAGAAGAAGAAGAAGAAGAAGAATAAGAATAAGAATAATAATAATACCTAATAATAATAATATGTAATAATATGTTCCCTTGAGGCATGAAAACAGTTCACCCCATGACAGTGACAAGATAAGGGGAGATAACATCTGATAAGAGCTGACCTTTGATGAGCGTAAACGAGGGTGGAGGGAGGGGGGCAGCTGTCCATCTGTCAAGAGCCAGGAGGAGGAGGAGGAGGAGGAGGAGGAGGAGGAGGAGGAGGAGGAGGAGGAGGAGGAGGAGGAGGAGGAGGAGGAGGAGGAGGAAGGAGAGAAGGAGAAGAAGGAGAAGAAGGAGAAGAAGGAGAAGAAGGAGAAGAAGGAGAAGAAGGGAGAAGAAGGAGAAGAAGGAGAAGAAGGAGAAGAAGGAGAAGAAGGAGAAGAAGGAGAAGAAGGAGAAGAAGGAGAAGAAGGAGAAGAAGGAGAAGAAGGAGAAGAAGGAGAAGAAGGAGAAGAAGGAGAAGAAGGAGAAGAAGGAGAAGAAGGAGAAGAAGGAGAAGAAGGAGAAGAAGGAGAAGAAGGAGAAGAAGGAGAAGAAGGAGAAGAAGGAGAAGAAGGAGAAGAAGGAGAAGAAGGAGAAGAAGGAGAAGAAGGAGAAGAAGGAGAAGAAGGAGAAGAAGGAGAAGAAGGAGAAGAAGGAGAAGAAGGAGAAGAAGGAGAAGAAGGAGAAGAAGGAGAAGAGGAGAAGAAGGAGAAGAAGGAGAAGAAGGAGAAGAAGGAGAAGAAGGAGAAGAAGGAGAAGAAGGAGAAGAAGGAGAAGAAGGAGAAGAAGGAGAAGAAGGAGAAGAAGGAGAAAAGGAAGAAGGAGAAGAGAAGAAGGAGAAGAAGGAGAAGAAGGAGAAGAAGGAGAAGAAGGAGAAGAAGGAGAAGAAGGAGAAGAAGGAGAAGAAGGAGAAAGAAGGAGAAGAAGGAGAAGAAGGAGAAGAAGGAGAAGAAGGAGAAGGAGAAGAAGGAGAAGGAGAAGGAGAAGAAGGAGAAGGAGAAGGAGAAGGAGAAGAAGGAGAAGGAGAAGGAGAAGGAGAAGGAGAAGGAGAAGGAGAAGAAGGAGAAGACGACGACAACGACGAAGAACAAACATTTGTCTGTCTGTCTATTTGTCTGTCTGCCAAACTCCCTGTCTATCCGTCTAGCTCTGTCTCAGAGAGAGCCACAAGACTGTGTCATCATCACCTTTACTCACATCTTCAAGCAGAGTATAGCACTTTGTCTGGATTTTTTGGGTTATCCTAGGTAATTTACACTATGTATAGTTGTATTTATGTGTACCTGTGAGACAGAGATAGACAGAGAGAGAGAAAGAGAGACAGATTGAAAGAGATAGAATGAGGGAGAAAGATAATTAGATAGAATGGAGGGGAAGCAGCATCCGACCCCATTGTTTTGACAGGCGGGAGGGGAAGTGAGTAATGAGACAATATGTCATTTTGACAGCTGCCGACTCCTGACTCAAAACAATTATAAACCACACACTCGCACACAAGACAAGCTTGCTGAAGGGTGATAATAGCAGTTTTATGAAAGTATCTAGTGACTATATATGTGTATATATATTATAGAAACCAGAAGCAAGAAGGGAAGGCAGGAATGAAGGAAGGACTAGATGAAAGGAAGGAAAAAAGTAATGAAGGACAGATGAAGGAATGTAGGAAGAGAGGTGGAATGCCCTCCAGGTAGCCTCCAGGAAGGAAAGGAATGAAGGAAATTAGGAAGGAAGGATGACACACGACCATTTACCTAGGATAACTACATAACACAACTGCCTGCTAATACTTTGAAGAAAACTGCTCAGACGAGGTGTTTTGTCTTTGCACATAAAAAAAAAATTCAACAAAAATGCACACACACTGATTTTATATGTGAGAGTGTAAAACACCATTGTGTATGACACCATGTTTTATGTGTGAGAGTGTAAAACACCACTGTGTATGACACCATGTTTTATGTGTGAGGAGTGTAAAACACCATTGTGTATGACACCATGTTTTATGTGAGAGAGTGTAAAACACCACTGTGTATGACACCATGTTTTATGTGTGAGAGTGTAAAACACCACTGTCTATGACACCATGTTTCACAGAGTTCCACAAGCTACAGAACTTCTAGGAGTATGTTCAGTGACTGTATATTGGTATATATATTATAGAACAATAGTAATAAAAATTTTTTGTATTGTTTGTTTTTGTAAACAAGTTTTGTAAACAATATATTGATAATTATGTTTGTGTGCTTATTGTGTTGTATACAACGAGTGTATATATGTACATTGCACCTTACTTTGGTCTCACAGGCCACATAAGTTATGTAAAAAAATAAAATAGTGAAAAAAACAACAAACCTTCAAATACAAGTAAACCAAAGTTTACCGGGTGAGCGGCAGTCGCCGCTGTTGCCATACGCGGCTCATTTTCTGCAAACTTCATGCCTCTATATCTCGGTAAGTACTGATGGGAAAAATTTTTTTTTGGGACTAAAACAATCAGAAAAATAATCTTAACATTTTCATAAGAAAAAATAATTTTTTTTTTTTCGAATATTTTGCGACACCAGGAGCAACTTCAGGATTGGGCCCTTCGACAGTCAAAGGGTTAAATCTAGGTTCACTGTATTTAGTAGAGATATACAACATCCACTTACACTATTATGGAAAAACTGATTACGAATATCTACCATACACTCCTTAAATCATAATAATAATTATGCCAAAAGAACAACAAAATGTCTATCCTACTTCAGTGTGTTGTCAATCTGATACAACCTGAGAAACTTGTTCATGCAGATGATTAGTACAGTATAAAATTTATGAAGCAGCACTAAACTGTTATTAATGCCTGAAGAATGAGAGGAATGATCCATAGAAAGGGAGTCCAATTCCTTGGAGTAAGGGTAATGCCAAAAGGAACAAACCTCCTGGTTACCCCTCGGCATGCTATAAAACTAGTTTAACCACCCTTCAAAAACTATTGCCCATCACTCATGTGTCCACTTAACAGATATATACAGTGGACCCCTGACATTCGATACTAATCCATTCCTGAGAGCTCATCGAATGTCGAAAATATCAAAAGTCGAATTAATTTTCCCCATAAGAAATAATGGAAATCAAATTAATCCGTGTAAGACACCCAAAAGTACGAAAAAAAAAATTTACCACATGAAATATTAAGTTTAATGCAATAGAATAATTACAATAACAACAATAACAATAGAATAATTGACACTTACCTTTAATGAAGATCTGGTGATGATTGATGGGATGGGAAGAGGGGAGAGTGTCGAAGTTGTTACTGTTTAGAAGGGAAATCCCCTTCCATTAGGACTTGAGGTAGCAAGTCCTTTTCTGGGGTTACTTCCCTTCTTTTAATGCCACTAGGACCAGCTTGAGAGTCACTGGACCTCTGTCGCCGTTCCTTTAAGATTTGTCTAAAATGGGCCATAACATTGTCATTGTAATAGTCACCAGCACAGCTTGCAATAGCTGTGTTAGGGTGATTTTCATCCATAAAGGTTTGCAGCTCAACCCACTTTGCACACATTTCCTTAATTTTTGAAGTAGGCACAATGGAGTCCACAACTGGCATAGGCTTCTCAGGGTTAGCCCCAAACCCTTCAAAATCTTTCTTAATTTCCATACTAATTCTCACCCTTCTTACCACAGGGTTGGCACTAGAAGCTTTCTTGGGGCCCATGGTGACATTTTGCAGAAACAAGCACGAAAAACAGTGATAATATGGATAATATGGAATGTACCGAATGTATCCTTAGATGCGCGCACAATGGCTGGCTTGTAAATACTGGCACACACGGGGCAGTTCAGGCCACACGTGGACACATATCGTATGAATCGTATAAAATGTCGGGTTTTCCATCGAATGTCGAGGCAAAATTTTTGCGTTAAAATGCATCGAATGTCAGATTTATCGAATGTCGATGCCATCGAATGCCAGGGGGCCCACTGTATACCATAGTGCTCAAACACTGCTTACACAGGTCACCACCATAAAAGAAATACTCAAGTCTTACTTATCAATGGCTCAGTATTTAGAGCACAAAGGTAAAGGTACAAGGACAGACTCCTAGAGGTCACCGAGTTAAAAAAAAAAAAAAAGAAAGTCCACAAGTGGTAAAATGCCTCCTTCAATAAATGTTTTGACTGTGCATGTGTCTTTTTCTCACACCATTTGAACTACAACATCCCCACCTATTCTTCAGAATGCAAGCACTGAACTTCCAAACCTTTAGAACTTGAGTCTTGCTAAATGGTTGCCCTGAATCCCTTCATGCATTAATTTCATTTTCATATGCAACATCTATCTACAGCACTTTAGATTATAAAGGCACAGAAAAAATAAAAACCAACAATAGTGAGTATGCAGTGTTATTGGTCTAAATCACGTCATAATGAGCCTTATATCTTACCGTTTTGTTGTACCAGCTGGGAAGAGATTTACAGCCTTGATAAGAAGCTGGAGATCATCCTGGCACCAACTTTTGTGAGACAAGCCTTCACCACCACTTCCACTGCCACCCCTGGATGCTGCTGCTGCTACTTCCTCTCTCTCACGTTTAATGCGATTACGAACTTCAGTTACCTAGATAAAGGAGTTCAGTATTTTTATCTTCTACTATATCCAACATACAATGCTTGTCATTAAAGAATGCCAGGTGGAAGTCACGAGTATACTTTAATATCCAGGGTAATGCCCTACCCAGGTAGGTTTATCAATGAGACAAAGTTATGCTGGCCTGACAACTAAAGTGGGACGTTTCAGGATTTTCTAAGCCTACTGGTTGCACCCAAAGTGCCTTCTGGGCTTGTGTGGTAAATGGTTTTGTGTCCTTGGTCCCCCTCTGACATGTGATCTTAAGAGCAGAGTTTGTCAGGCATTTTTGGCTACTGGCAAATTAATATAGGCAGAAGTAAGTCTCTGACACAAGAAACAATTGCTAAGGCCATCAATTGAAAGCATGCAGTAAGAACCTGGTGCAGTTCCTTGAAGACAGCATTAATAACATACCTAAATTAAAAGCACATCCAGAGAAACCTAGAAAAACATCCCCACTAATGTCAATAATATACCTAGAATTGCTTTGACACGTGCCAGAGTCTTTCATGCAGTATGGTGCATGGTTTTTATGCAAGACAGTGCTCCTTGCCACAACATGAAATCTGCTGTTCAGTGGCTTCATGCCAATGCAGTATCCTCCTTTGATGACTGGCTAAAGAGATCTAATAAGGATAAGAGAATCACCCCACTTTCATGGCTTTAGGACACTATACACGAGTCTCGGGGGATTTTGTTTTTTCAACATGACAGCCGTCTTCCATCGAGGCAGGGTGACCCAGAAAGAAAGAAAAACCCAACAAGACTGAAAAAACTTTCATCACTCAACACCTTCACCAGCACTCATTTACAATCACTCTCTTTCCAGAGGCGCTCAGATACAACAGTTTAGATGTCCCTCCAAACTGCCAATATCTTAAACCCCTCCTTTAACCCTTTGACTGTTTCGGTCATATACGTCTTACGCACCACTGTTTCTGACGTATTCATATGCATAAATTCTAGCGGCTTCAAATCAAGCGGGAGAAAGCTGGTAGGTCCACATGTGAGAGAATGGGTCTGTGTGGTCAGTGTGCACCACATAAAAAAAACTCCTGCAGCACGCAGTGCGTAATGAGAAAAAAAACTGACTGTTTTTTTTTTTTATTAAAACGCTGACTTTGAGGTGTATTTTCGTATAGTATTTATCGTTGTATTCTCATTTTCCTGGTCTCAGGTGATAAACTGGAAAACACATTACAGAAACAGAGATGATTTTGATTACTTTCACGATGAAAACGACCTTGAAATTGAGCTCAAAGTAGCGGAAATGTTCGATTTTTACCAATGTTCAGGAGTAAGCAAATCACACCACACGTCCAATACACTTCAACTGGGGAGTCTAATATTCTTTCACTAGTGCATTGATATTATTTATATGATTTTTACAATAATGCAGTAGTCTGCATAACAGTAAATTTTGTATTTTTTTGTATGAAGAAAAAATCAAAATAGAAAGCAATAGTAATATAAGAGGGGCCTAGAGACATGACTAATGAACAGAGGATATGTTATTTTAGTGCCAAGAATGTCTACATTGTTTATTCTGGACCCTATTTTGAAATTGGCATCTTTTTTAATTTGCGTGAAATTGGCCAAATTGCCAATTTCTGACCACTTTATTGGGTAGTTCAAATCGGTAAATGGGCAATTTCTTGTACTCAACAGATAGAAAAAATGGAGTTCTAAAGAAATAGCTATGAGTTTAGTCAACTGGAACAACAGAATTGGCCAAAAACAGGGCTCAAAGTTCGTGAAATCGCTGATGCGTATATGTCGCTGAGACTGCTAACTTCGCAGAAACGTAATTTCGTGAGTTTTCGACCAAATTTCATACTTTTGGTGTCATTACCATCGGGAAAAGATTCTCTATCATTTCATAAGAAAAAATAATTTATTTTTTTCCAAAAATTTATTGACATAGAATGACAGTTTCAGAAAGGGGCTTGTACAGCAATGCAACCATATGACCTGTCTTTGTAATACTCATTTGTGCTTTATTGTTATCTGTTTACAATAATGTTTTATCACTGATTACATCATTGCTTGGTTAATCTTAAGTTAATTCTAAGCCTGCCCGTAATGCTATGCATACAAGTGGCTTTGGCATGCTGCTCTTACCTGTATTTTTTGTACCTCTGTATGTATGTTCAAATTATTAAATAAGTAAATAAATAAATTGTACTTCCCATTTCCAGGACTCAAGTCCGGCTTACCGGTTTCTCTGAATCCCTTCACAAAATATTACCCTGCTCATACTCCAACAGTTCATCAGGTCCCAAAAACCATTCGTATCCATTCACTCCTATCTAACACGGTCACGCACGCTTGCTGGAAGTCCAAGCTCCTCGCCCATAAAACCTCCTTTACCCCCCTCCCTCCAACCTTTTCTGGGACGACCCCTACCCCACCTTCCTTCCTCAACAGATTTATGCACTCTTCAAGTCATTCTACTTTGTTCCATTCTCTTTAAATGACCAAACCACCTCAACAGCCCCTCTTCAGCCCTCTGATTAACCCTTTCAGGGTTTTCGATGTACTAGTACGGCTTACGCACCAGGGTTATTGACGTACTAGTACGCCTAAATTCTAGCGCCTTCAAATCTAGCGAGAGAAAGCTGGTAGGCCTACATATGAAAGAATGGGTCTATGTGCTCAGTGTGCGCAGTATAAAAAAAAATCCTGCAGCACACAGTGCATAATGAGAAAAAAACTAACCGTGTTTTTGGATTAAAACAGTGACTTTGCACTGTATTTTCGTATGGTATTTACGGTTGTATTCTAGTTTTCCTGGTCTCATTTTATAGAATGGAACACATATTACAGAAATTGAGATGGTTTTGACTGGTTTCACAATGAAAAGTACCTTGAAATTGAGCTCAAAGTAGCAGAAATGTTCGATATTTACCAAAGTTCAAAAGTAAACAAATCATGTCAAGTGTCCAATACACGTCAACTGGTGAGTCTAATATTCTTTCACAAGTGCGCTGATATTATTTATACCATTTCTACACTAATGCAGTAGTCTGCACAAGAGTAAATCTATTTTTTGTAAGAATAAAAGTATTAACCCTGAAAGGGTTAATACTTTTAGTAACTGCACACCTCCTCTTAATTTCCACCCTACGAATTCTCTGCATAATATTTACACCACACATTGCCTTTAACCCTTAAACTGTCCAAACGTAGATCTACATTCACTCGTATAGCACTCCGAACATAGATCTATGTTTTATTTTACATGCTTTCAAATGTAAAAAAAAAAAAAAGTAGATCTATGTTCGGAGCACTACGCGAGTGAATGTAGATCTAAGTTTGGACAGTTTAAGGGTTAGACATGACATCTCCACCACCCCCAGCTGCCTCCTCGCTGCAGCATTTACAACCCATGCTTCACACCCATATTAAAGTGTTGGTACCACCATACTCTAGTACAGTGGACCCCCGCATACCGGACGCCTTGCATAACGGACAATCCGCATACCGGACGCTTTGATCGCTAAAATTTTGCCTCGCATACCGCCCAAAAACCCGCTCAGCGCCCTTCGTCCGAGACGCGTCCAATGTGCGGCCTGAGCCAGCCTCATATGTTCCGCCGGTGGCATTGTTTACCAGCCAGCCTCCGCGGTAACATTCAAGCATACAATCGGAATATTTCGTATTATTACAGTGTTTTCGGTGCTGTTTCTGGAAAATAAGTGACCATGGGCCCCACGAAAGCTTCTAGTTCCAACCCTACAGCAATAAGGGTTAGAATTCCAATAGAGATGAAGAAAGAGATCATTGATAAGTATGAAAGTGGATTGCGTATCACCGACCTGGTCAGCTTGTACAAGAAACCCAAATCAACCATCTCTACTATTGTGGGCAACAGAAAGGCAATCAAGGAAGCTGTTCTTGCCAAAGGTTTAACTGTGTTTTCGAAACAGAGATCGCAAGTGATGGAAGATGTTGAGAGACTCTTATTGGTGTGGATAAATGAAAAACAGCTAGCAGGAGATAGCGTTTCTCAAGCTATCATAAACGAAAAGGCTAGGAAGTTGCATGAGGATTTAATTAAAAAATGGCCTGCAACTAGTGATGATGTGAGTGAATTTAAGGCCAGCAAAGGTTGGTTTGAGAGATTTAAGAAGCGTAGTGGCATACATAGTGTGATACGGCATGGTGAGGCTGCCAGTTCGGACCACAAAGCGGCTGAAAAATATGTGCAGGAATTCAAGGAGTACATAGAAACTGAAGGACTGAAACCTGAACAAGTGTTTAATTATGATGAAACAGGCCTGTTTTGGAAGAAAATGCCAAGCAGGACCTACATTACTCAGGAAGAAAAGGCACTCCCAGGACATAAGCCTATGAAAGACAGGCTTACTTTGTTGATGTGTTCCAATGCTAGTGGTGATTGCAAAGTTAAGCCTTTATTAGTGTATCACTCTGAAACTCCCAGAGCGTTCAGGCAAAAGAATGTCCTCAAGGATAATTTGTGTGTGCTGTGGAGATCAAACAGTAAGGCATGGGTCACTAGGGACTTTTTCTATAACTGGTTACACCATGCATTTGCCCCCAATGTGAAAGATTACCTAACTGAAAAGAAATTAGAACTTAAGTGCCTCCTGGTGTTAGACAATGCCCCTGGTCATCCTACAGACGTGGCAGAGCAACTTTATGGGGACATGAGCTTCATTAAGGTGAAGTTTTTGCCTCCTAATACCACTCCTCTCCTGCAGCCCATGGACCAGCAGGTTATTGCAAACTTCAAAAAACTGTACACAAAAGCTCTGTTTGAAAGGTGCTTTGTAGTGACCTCAGAAACTCAACTGACTCTAAGAGAGTTTTGGAGAGATCACTTTAATATCCTCAATTGTATAAACCTTATAGGTAAGGCTTGGGAGGGAGTGACTAAGAAGACCTTGAACTCTGCTTGGAAGAAACTGTGGCCAGAATGTGTAGACAAAAGGGATTTTGAAGGGTTTGAGGCTAACCCTGAGAGG